CCCCCCCCCCCCCCCCAGTGTTTCTGGCTCCACATTACCAGTCAATTACTGAGCCAGAAACACTGGTAATTACAACTGGCAAAACAAAGATTTGACTGGACAAGTTCCAGTTCTGACCAGACATTGTCTGATGGCCTGTCAATACTATGTACTTATTGACTGAGTGGGAGGGCTGTACGGGAAAATATTTGGCTTGAGGTGATGCCGTACGGACCGAGCGCCAAATATTTTCCCGTATGGCCCGACCTAAATCAGTCAATAAGCATTTTATCATATGACCCTCACAAAAAAATCAATAAAAAATCAAAGAAAGAAAGAAATAGTAAATAAAAGCTAAAAAAGAGAAAGCGCGTGGATTCGAGCAGGGCCGTACAGATCTGCTCGCTCAAAGCTGTCTGGCCCCCATCACGTGACTTTTTCCAATGCTTTTATTAGAGCGCGCAAGCAGGGCCGTACAGGTCATATGATAAAGTACTTTTAGCCCTGTTCAATAGTAGATAAATATACCGGGAATTAGGAATCAAAAGGTGAACATATCTCTATCTCTATGCATTCATTTTTGGTGTAGAATTGATTTTGGGTCAACATTCAGCTTGGTATAACACATCGTAATGGCCAGGTTTGTAGAGTAAATGTACTTTAGGTTTTCCTCCGTCTTCTGGAAAGTCATGATGATTGACATCAGTTGAACCAGTTCTGTCAACATATTCAACTCGGATGCATACACCCAGTGCATCTGTTAGGGCAATGATATGAATGTGGTCACTTTCTTTTGCCATTGGCTCTACTTCCTGTAAATGTTGAAATCAAAGATATGAGATTTTTTCTTCACTCATTTACCACAGGTAGCCCAGTTTTAGAATTTGAAGAATTTCAGAAATCACTAAAAAAATGTTTTCAAGTTTTTGCCTTTAGTTTATAAAGTAAAATATATTTGGTTTAAATGTTGTTTTGAATTTATTTTTTTATTTTTTCTCTTCTTATTAAAGTTTTACCTTTTGAACTAAAACTTCTTTTTTGGGTTATAAGATAGTAGTTATGAGGGTAACCGGTCAACTTGCCTATGGATCTACTTGCCTATGCCAACTCGCCCACGTATAAAATCATTTGCCAACTCTCCTACACAAACTTGACTACGTATACAATCAGTTTCAGAAATATCTAACTGTACATTAAGCCTAAAAAAATTAGTTTATGATTTGAAAGAAGTCTTCAGAACAAGCTCTCTGATAAAATATTTCTCAGTTTTTTTGTTTTTTTATTTCAAAAAACGTAGTTCAATATTGAATTTTCCAGCTAAAATCCTAGGTGTTGACCTACCTGGCTGCAGAATTCTTTAACAGTTCTTTCACCTTCTATAAAGTTCTCGAAGAACTCTGCTTTCTTTTGCAGTTGAGCAGAAGTTAATAATCTTAAGTACACAACAACATAGTTTGATATTCCTTCATCTCTGAAAGTCTGATGAAGAAACAATCATTTCAATAGATGTTTAAAGTTTAAAAGGTGTGAAAAGGGCAATTTACAACATAGTGGGAAAAAATTCTTGTCTTTAGGAAGAATTTAGATTTAAATAAGTGCTGTGATTATTTATTAAGGAGGTGTTTACCTTTATCAAGAACTAATAATTATTTACCTTCAGAAGTTCCTCAACAGATTGTTCTTTTCCTACCATCTCTATTACTTCCATAAACTATTGAAATAAAAGAGATATTAATTTTGCATTAAATAACATTAAAAGAATTACAGCAGGGATTAAATTAAGGAGCAGACATCAGACAATGTCTGGCCATAATTGAAACTTGTATGTTCAAAACCCGTTAAGCAAGAAACAAGGTTTGACCTAGCTAAGACTAATTTCACTGGTCATGATGACCGGTGACTGACCAGATATTATTTTAAGCCCTGACTATAACTGTAACAGTCAAATATGTAAAAGTGTTAAAACGTTTTAAGATAAATGGTAAATACATAGGATAGTATTCTTACGACATCATGGAAATCTTCTATCGTAAAGGACGGAAATCCTAATGCAACTAATTCATCTTTACTTTTTGATGCAAGTGCTTTAAATCTGAAAAAACAAACAATTAAATTTCATTCATTATTTCTAAAAAATTGAAATATTTAAATGCTGTGCCACCCAAAATTTGTTCAAAATTCAAGCTCTAATGTTTCCAAGACAGCCATGACAATGCTTGCCTGTGATAGGAGGAATAAGTTTTACATGAGACATTAGTAACAGTGATCTGACAATAATCAGATGGATTCATTCTCATGTTACACACACCTAATTGAAAAAATTTTGTCGGGTTCAAAAAAAGGTTATATCATCAAAGCTACCGAAGGGGAGCATGGGAAGACAAACAATTATGCTAATTTCATGCGTATTGCGGTTTCCCCTTCCTGTGCACATTTTATGCATCATGGCTTTGGCATGTTGTTATCTAGGTCGACCGACTTTGCTCTACTGTGCATTTTTACATGTCTATATGCAAATATAATACACATTTCGGAGTACCCAAAATCCTTTTCGGTCTTAGCTTTGATGATATGACCTTCTCGAACCCAACTACGTTTATTCAATTAGGTGTATACAGTAATAGTGATATGACAATAATCCAATCAGATGCATTTATTCTCATGTTCCATGTACATTAACAGTCACCATTGAGAACATTGAGAACTAGACATTAAAACTTTGGTGACGTCCTGCTCAACTGGAAGCATAGTAACAATGTTTATTTAGATTAGGGATCAAGTGGTTTCCTTGTACCTTTCATATTCTTCTTTATCGTCTATTAGTCTTTCAAAATATCCAAAACCAAAGGCTCGAAAGAAACAATTACCGTCACCTCTCGTCTTTCGTACATAAGAATAATTAGATGATAAATTCTGAAGAAAGAAACAAAAATAATCTTTCTTACTTAACATTCTTTTGTATGCAGATTACCCCTCATTTTTCCACAACGGTTGAAATGTCCACTCTCTCTATATCTATAGGTTTTTTTACCTTTATTTTTGATTGATAAACATAGTCGTCACTAGAATATTCCTGTAGGAGATTAAGTATGTCATGCTTGTCGCTGACTAGTGCTTGCGAATCTGCTATCTGTCAAATACAAGAGGCTCAGATATACTTTTTTATTGCAAGCTAGAGAACATTGAATCATTTGTGAGGGGATGCTGAATTTTTGAAATCGGTACACTTTTTTTTCCGTGCCAGTATTCACAAGGCAGCAAAGGTCTCTACGTAGGAACCTTTCCAAATTCTAAAAAGAATCCAATGCCAACCGCACTCTCCCCAGAAACCTAATCCCATGCATCCCTACGCAAAGGGTATTCCAAAACTTCTCGTCCCTACAACACAACCACCACAACACCCTTCCCCTTCTCTGACCCTGATTTGATATGCCACCGACAGCTTTTGTAGTCATTTAGCTTAAGGCAAAAGACAAAATAATATACAAAACTATGCCATACCTCTTTTTGAATATGATCTACTTGTGCCATAATAGCTTCGTCATAATTTACTACGATCAAAACAAATATACGTTATTATCGTAAGCATATCAACTATCAACGAAAATTTCACATCCTTAAAAAAATAATATCTTTAAATCTTCTTGAATAAATCTTTTAGAAACAAACCAATCCTTAATCCAGTAATTATATTTTTATATTTCCTATTACTTCTTTAATGTCTTTTTACTTTAATACACATCGCTATCGATAAAAATACATTTTAAAAATTTAACTGTTTTAAGTTTGCATATTAAATATCATGACAACTCGAAACAACACGGCTTTTCATGTTGAAAAGACGGCCTTATAAAGATTTATAAAATCCTCGAAGTAAATTTGATTTATCATAGAATGCTTATTTGTCGTTTTAAAGTTCATTCTGATATTTTAAAACTCGTTAAATTTACTTTAAATGTACCTTCTGGGACACGATCCGCAGTTTCGTCCGCCATCTTGGACTGTTTGTGAACCGGAAGTAGTTGCTTAAATGGTGACTAACAAAGCATTGCGGGTAATAGCGGACAGACAGACAGATGAGCAAAAAGACAGACAGACAGATAGTGTTCTACTTTGGTAATAATCACTGAGTATATTTTTTTCCTACTTCCCTTTCTTTTCTCTTTCACACTCGCTTTTATGATGATTTCGTTTCTAATTACATTTTTTTTAGAACTTGCTTCAATATTCCCAACTTTATTTGCATACATCCTTCGGGGCAGGCAGTTCCTGTAATGAGAGATTCTTAGGACTACCTCTTAGATACCAGTCATTATTTA